GGTTGGTTTCTGTTAAAAAGTTAATCAAGTAAAAATTTTTGAATTATATAGCAAAATTAACACCTTTATTTAAATTTTAAAAAATTGAGCAAAATTAGCATATCTTCTCCACAGCTAAATTTTACATTATGTAAAACTAATGATTGCTGCACTACTTACAAACACAATAAAATTATTTTCTAGTGGCCATTGCTGCCTACTCTTTTTTTTTTTTTTTTTGAGAGAGAGAGAGAGAGACAGGGCCTACTACCTCTTCAGCCAACTTCTTTCTTCCTTATAGCAGGCACAAATCCACTTCCGGAATTTGTCCTGATCAATCAATCAAGAATGGCCTCGGCTGCACACGAGGCCACTTTTCCCAGTCTGTATCCTCGAGCCTGCCAGTCTCAATTTGTCTGTTTATTTATTACAAAAATTAAAAATAAATGCTTAAGTCCCCCCCCCTCCAGCATTGGAAAGTATTGTTCTTGCCCTAAAAATTGGAAAGGAGAGCCGAAGAAGACAGGGCAGCCAATGACATCAGAACCAATTCGGTCATATATAAATGAGGGTTGGTTCTGTAGAAGAAATTGATAGCTTAAAAGGAAAAAGAGAATCAAGGCAAAAACAGCAGAAGTGTTGACCACCGGCAGAGAGGAGGAGCAGACGAGGGGAGCAAAAATAATCCTCTCTGCCGGTGGTCAACACTTCTGCTGTTTTTGCCTTGATTCTCTTTTTCCTTTTAAGCTATCAATTTCTTCTACAGAACCAACCCTCGTTTATATATGACCGAATTGGTTCTGATGACATTGGCTGCCCTGTCTTCTTTGGCTCTCCTTTCCAATTTTTAGGGCAAGAACAATACTTTCCAATGCTGGAGGGGGACTTAAGCATTTATTTTTAATTTTTGTAATAAATAAAAAAGGGTACACTTCCTTGCACATAAAAAGTAATTAAGCGTGTATGGTAGATATCGCTTCAGTTAGCATAGTGTCAGCGCCACTTACAAGTAAAAAATTATTGAAAAACAGGAAAGTAATTTCTGTCAAACAGCAGGGGTTAACGTTGAATTACCTGTTAGGTTTACAATATTTATTTTTCATTTTATTCTCAATTAAGTTGCCATGGTTTATGGAACCCAGAACCACTGGCATGATAAATACGAGACGGAATACCACTCGGCCACCCTTAAAAATAAACCTACTTAAAGAAATGGCTGTAAAACCATTACTGCCACTTTCTATTATAACTTGCTGAGTAAGCTCGAGGCAGCTTTTTGTGACGTATTTGAAGGATTGTTAATGAATATAATGTGCATAATTAATGTTTTTTTGTGTATATAATCCAGTCTCGAGTTGTTCCGATTCTAACCTATAAAAAAAACGCAAATAATATCAGGTCAGGGGGTCCTAACTATTGGTATATTTGCTTACAATACTATCATACGAACAATCACAAACTGCTGCTAATAAACGAGAATAAAACTTAGCTTGTAATTCACTAATTTCGTGGTCCGCTTGGCCAATTAATATATTACAATTAATTTTGGTTTTTAGTTGAGATGAAAAAAAGTTAATGGCATGAGCGGGATTCGAACCCGAATTTGAAAAATGGCTAAAAGGAGGGAAAACTCATTAGGTGGGGTTGAGATAGTTGATGTCCGAGTGGATCGAGGTCATTATAGCTCAAGTGGTAGAGCAGCGGCGTACTTAGCTTGTAACTTATAAAATTTATACATTTCAAACCCAAAGGGCAAACCAGGCAAGACAAATAATGCCGTAATGTATCCTTTTCTTTTTTTCTTCTGAGGTATTTATTTATAAGGTAAAATAATTAAGCAGAACATTTTGTATATATATTATTTCTTGTTTCTTTTGTTCTCTTAATAGCAACAGATATTTTTCATTATTCTTTACTCAAAAACAGGCATATTTTATTGTCGAAGAAATAAGAAAATTGTTATAACTTTTCACATTTTTTCCCTCTGTATTTTCTCATATTTCATTTATTTGGCACAAATGTGCTAGTATAATAAGTTTGTTAAATTATTATTTTATTAATTTTAAATATAATTTTCCAAAATTACAACATATCATAATAATTTCCTATTAACAATAGTATACAACTCCTTGAAAAGAGTCCATTTACATAATTCATGCTCCTTACATTTTATTTTTTATTTTTTAAAGTTAGTTCCTTAACATTTTAATAATAAATTACATCATTTAATATAATATAATTAATTCCTTTATTATAAAAATTATAAACATAATAAAGCTAGCAATAACAAAATCCTTAAAAAGCCATTTTATTATTATTGCTGCATTTGTCAAAAATAAAACAGAAATTCAATTAATAAAAATCAAGTCAGTTAGTAAAAAAAAAAAAAAAAAAAAAAACATACAGAAATGAAATTTATTATAAAATTAAAAAAAAGAAAACTGGTTTCGCCAAGGACCTGGGCGACAACCACATAAAGTTTCACATTTTGGAAAAGTTCATTGGTCCCACTAGGAATAAGATCATTTAAATCAAATCGGAAGACATTTTTTGTATTGCAACTGCAAATAAAGTGGCTTTTAGTTAAATAGCATCGGGTGTACAAATTTAAAAAAAAATTATTGCCTAGTTTTAATATTGATTATTTACAGTGTTACTTATAGAAATGTTGCGAAAGGGCTGTTGGTTGTTTACAAGATCATACTATATAATAAATTTAAAATTATTCAATGTAATATAGCAAGCAAGTGGTTTTGTTTTCTTTTTATTAACACTCAATCAACAGCCTTTCAGTTTTCCACATAGATTTACACCGTTGTTACCCTGAAGAATGGCTGTTTCCGTTTTGGTCTTTAATTGGATTATTTACTCTTGGAAGAGGGTTCATGCAATTTTTTTTAATATGTTATAATTGAGCACTAGATTTACTGTAGTTTCATGCAGAACACTCGTCGACTGTTTCGAATCAGATGGTTGTATAAAAATTCAAGAGTGGATAATCAGATTAGACATCGCTGATCCGCTCGTTCTTCTTTTTTCCCCCGGAGCTCTGAAAATCGAACATTCAGTCATAAAAGTTAATTTTTTTTAAAAAATAAAATGTGCAAAATTACCTGCGATGAGAGTGAAGTTTTATCAGGAGAGGCAACCACGTGATTTGGTGACTTCTGCAAAGATATTATTTTTTTAATAAATTCTATAATACACGAAATTAACACGATTCCTTGTTAGAACTTTCGCTTCCCCAGCTGGTTTTCTCTATTACACCATTAGACTTGCATCCATGCAGTTCAATTAAATTTATAAACATTAGACAAATGAGAAAATTATAAATTTAATTTTTGATGGACATCTTGCAGTTATTATACACTAAATGGCAAAAAGTTCCACCCAATTGATTTTTTTTTCATTTTCTCGATAAAAGAAAATTCTGCCCTTAATTTGTGTCAATGTTTTTACCAATAAATATTTGTTTAAGCTATGTTTTAAATTGGGAATTAGAGAAAATTAGGGGTAAACACCAAAACAAGATAAAGGATTTTCCAATGTTTAATTTTATGGAATTTAAAATGTTTATTCAAATAAACTGTTTAGTTTTCATCTTAGTTTTCTTAATTTCAATTTGTAAACTTAAAAATGCCACTTAGTGCTGAGGATGTTACGCGTGGTGTGGCACTTATTAATGTTGGAAATCCCCCTCTCCCTACAAAACTCTGTGAGACGCCGTCTTTTTTGAGAAACTGGTTCCTACCAAAAGGCCCTAGGGTAACAGAACCACAGGATGACAGTTTTTTGACTATGAAAATTTTTGCGAAATCGGCATCTTACTGTTGCTCAAGCGATTCATCAGCTCAAGGAAGTTCGAGGTGTCCAAATTCTGAACGCACTGCTCCAAGAAGATTAAATCAGTATGGACTGATGGCTTTTCGCCCCGTAAATGGACCAGAATTGACCAGAACACACAGCCGTTGCACAGCTCGCATTTGCTCGAGAACATGATTATTGGTCTTTGGACGATTGGTCTGCTGTACTTTTTACATGAGTGCAGATTCGCTCTATGATCTCCAGGTGGGCATGAAAGAGTGTGGAGAAGGCAAAATGAAAGGTGCGAAGCATGTAACTTTTCCCAGAGCTGACCTTTTCAACGTAACTCAGTGATGGTGTGGGCCGGAATTTCAATGGAGAGTCGCACAAAGTTGGTTGTTGTTCGGGGAGGGTTTTTGACGGCCACTCGCCACGTGGATGAAATTTTGGAACATCATGCATTGCCTATCCTCGATGAAATCAGAGACAGTCCAATTTTAATGCACGATAATGCCCGTCCACATGTCGCGTACGTTCAACGTACCTTCAACAGCCCAACATCAGGTTCTTAGCCTAGCCAGCCCGTTCTTCAGACTTGAACCCCATCGAAGATTTATGGGATAACCTCAAAAGACAAATAAGAGCACATCCATCACCACCTGACACACTCCACGATCTTGAAAGGACTCTTTGTGAAGAACAGATAACCTCCTGCGTAGAGACATTTCCAGTCTGGTAGAAAATATACCGAGGTGTTTCGAGATGTAATTAAGGCAAGAGGAGGAAATACGCGATATTGAAATGCTATATAAAATCTAAAACAAAAAGTTTTTTATTTTATATTTTCCTTAGCAATTTACCTTTTTTTTACTATTTTAGACAAAGACTCAATTACTAAATGCTAAAATACGTGAAACTTTGATTAATATATATACAAATTAAGATATATACAAAAATATATACAAATCAACTTATATTACAAGTGGGCGGACTTTTTTGCTTGTCAGTGTATATAAATAAATTAAAAAAATAAAAATAAAAAACAGGTCAGTCTGTATGACCTCTTTTAGCAATTTAAAATATTAAGCGAAAGCAAAAAATATCAACTTTTAACTTTTAACAATTTACTTAAATATGGTTTCTATTCAACCAATTAATCATTGGGGCATCCAATTCTCCAATTTGCGATGTGTTGGTCCTCGGTTTAATTCTAGGCATTGCTGTAATAATTTTATATGAAAGTTTTACATATAACAAAAATAACAAAGTTTTATATAGTTCTCTGTTATTTAAATTCACTAATTTCGTGGTCCGCTTGACCAATTAAATCATTACAATTAATTAAGGTTTTTAGTTGAGATGAAAAAAGTTAATGGCGAACCTCGAAAAATGGCAAAAAGGAGGGAAAACTCATAAGGTGGGGTTGAGATGGGAAGTTGATGTCCGAGTGGATCGAGGTCACGATAGCTCAAGTGGTAGAGCAGCGGCGTATCTAGCCAAAGATCGTGGGTTCGAATCCCGCTCGTGCCATTAACTTTTTTCATCTCAACTAAAAACCTTAATTAATTGTTCTCTGTTATCTTTATTTCAAGAATTTACGCCTTTTTTACTGTACATTATTCAGCATATACTGCACGATCATTATATTCCATAAAATCATTCATTATGTGGTTAATACACTTTGAATATTTACAGACTGTACAATAAATTTGTAAATTGAAAAAAAAAAAAAATTAGAAAATCAGGGCTTTCTTAGTGAACAGCAAACGATTAATCACACAAGGACATAGGACCGTTGTACATTTAGTAAGACAGTTAGTAGTGTTAGTGACTTACACCAATGTCTGGCGAAGAGTCACCTGTTGTGCTTTGACATCCCCTGCTGTCATTAAGCGGACATACAAGCTCACCCTCGTCAACATCGTATTTGCTCTTTTTACGTTTAAGAGTGAACTGAGATTTTTTCGCTACCTGAAAACCACATAATTGACCATTAAAAAAAAATTGTTTATTTATTTAAAAAAAAAAGATTCTTACTTTGATTTTTAGATTTATAGTTAGTGGGACGTAACCGAGAGTTGCTTCGGCCTCGCGTTTCTTCTGGATGTTCTCAGGGCCAAGGAGTTGTTTGAAATGGGTCGAAAGGTGTCTTCTGAGTAAGGTCTTCTCGCTCGGAATCGATAACAGGCTGGCGAGTAATGTGTCCGTGAAGCGGTCCTCGTGGATCATCAGACCACCATGAACACCTATTGTTTACATATTTAAAAAAAAATTAATTGACTGTTGTAAAAATCAAACGGTCATCATACCTGAACCTCGAAGATTGGGAGCGTATTCGGCCAGATCGACGAGCCGGAGCCACTCCATAACTCTGTGGTTCGTCCATAGCTCTACACGCTCGTCTGTCTCGTTTTCCGGGTCGGACCGCCGGATTAGGCAGTGTGGATCGAACTTCTCCTTCCTCAAGACCTGGATCCCGGTCCGCACGCTCGCCAGGTGTAGAGAGAGGTTGATGTGAAGACCCTGGATGTCGTCCATGCTCAACCTGTGAAGCACCCGGCCGTCGAGGCGTGCAGACAAGAAACTAGCTTTGTATTGAGGTAGGCCGATGTCGTCCAACCACCTGAGCACCCACCCGGGCTCAAGCCGCCCTGCGCACTCTAGGTAAGGGTCACTAGCCACACCCCTCTCGGCTTCTAGCGCTAGATGAAGCTTCTTGCGAAGAAGTGGATTCTTAAATAAAAAAAAAAAAAATCAAAATTATTCTATTGGATGAGATTACTATAAACATATTCCCTTTATGTTTTTCTATACTGATGGAGGAATTATAGCAATGACTTGATTAGCAAATATATCAACATCAAAAAAACTCACCTTTATATTAAGCTCTTTGTCTATTTCTTGTGGTGTTGCTGACAACAAAACTTGCCCAGTCTTCACCCACCTTCTAGCATCCTGAAGTGAATTTTCAAGCCCCATCTCCTTGAACCAAGCACAGATTTCATCAGTGGTCCACTCGGAGAAAGGCTTATCATTCCTATTTATGCAAAAGAGAAATGATTTGTATCAAATGATGGGTTTTTAAAAATATTTATGATAAGGAAAGGATCTACTTGACGCCTTGGGTGTTGCCACAGAGCCTTGGGCCAGCTGTCGATCTCACTCCTCCTCTCGTAAATTGTTCCTCAGAAGGGATATCGTCAAGACTGCCCGAACCACTCCGTTTCATCCTGTTCGATAAAATTTAATCATTAGAAAAAGTCTTTATTCTAGTGTTTTAATTAATTTTATATATTGAACTGTGTACATACTTCCCAAAAATTTTCCTGATGCCTTTTGGCTGCCCTGACTGCATAGTTGGGCTCGATTCTTTCGTATATTGTTCCCCGTCTTTTTCACGGTCAATAACTATCGTTTCGGTTTCAGCTGTACAAGAGAAAAATACCGAAAATATTATTAACACGACGCAAAAGATATTTTCAGGACAATATTATTGAATATGTATCATGCAAAAACAGTAAAACGCAAAATGAAGGACGAAAGCTGACAAGAACACTTTGCACACACGAAACTTTATTTACAATGGAGGTGAACATCATGCTGTTTACATGCTTGGACGTGCGCCGGAAAAGCGGACACTTAAACAAAAAACGATTTAAACAAAATCTACGAGGAATTTGCAATGGTGTGGTGTGACAAGGCGGTGTGAATGAACGACGAAGCAGGCAAAATGGCAAAGTGGTTGTGTCAGCGTGAATCAGACCTAGATTCGGTACTGAAGAGCACCGAGGATGATCAGTTGGCCTACCGAAGACAACAGCCCGCCTCAGGGCAGTGGATTCACCTTGATGTTCACGTGGAAGACTCCTGTACTGGCCTCCTATTAGCACCTTGAAACAAAAAAATCGATTAGTTAAAAAATTAATTCCTTTTACAGACAAACAACACGACCTTACCTTTTGTGATGTTGGTGTGTTGTGACTTGAATCAGAGTAGTCTAGTTTTCTTGAATGGGTTGACAGTGGGCTTGGCGAGGGTGAAATCCTAGGCTCCTATTTATTTTTTTTTAACAAACATAAATTGTTTTAACTGCATATATGTTAAAATTTATTTCAATCTGCTCTTATACTCAATAAAAAATGTAAATAACTAATATTTACATTACAAGTTAAATTTCTTTAATTATGCTAGTTTTTAGTACAAAGACTCATTTTGAAAGCTGATGTTAAAGCATCATTAATTAAATAATTACCCATTTCAATTTGTTAACGTTTTATTTAAAAACTTAAACACTCTCGACTTTCAGAAGAAAGAATAAAATAAAACAAAAAAATAAATAAATAAAATAAAACAGGCAACAATTTATATTTACTGAAAAGTTGGTGGGGGTGGATGTAGAAGGGTAGAGGTGGTTCCTTGGTGCCAAGGGTGGTTTGTTTTTTCTCTTCTCTTCTGCTAGTCTGTCCCTCAGATCGATGTTGTCCTTCTCGAGCGCTGACTCGTGCCTCTTCATTTCAGAGACGACTGCAAGAAGTTCGAGCTTCTGTGTCTCAAGCGATGACCTTGTCAACATTTCCTACGGAGAAAAAGGTCTTGCTTTGATATCATAAATTCATATAAATATATGTAAAAATAAGTTTATTCCTATATTTTATATCCTTTAGTCAATTTATACCTCCGACCTAAGTAAGCAACCTAACACTATCACCCTCACCTTTGTCGCTTATACCACAATCCTTTCTCCTGATAAATGGTATGGAGAAAAATGATACTAGGAAGCGGGGTTTATATTCCCCAGGCACTGCAGCCTTCTGGCTTATTGTGCCTTCCTAGTTCCTTAATTCAGTCAGTAGACTCAATCCTTCTTCTTAGAAGTATCAGGTCATTGACTATTGCTGCTGCAATTTGATTCCCTAAGTTTTTTCCGTTAAATATTCATTGAGCTGTTGCTTCGCATTCAAAGATGATATGAGTGGCTGTTTCTTCCTCCTCATTACTTAATCTGCAAATGGAATCATTGTTGTAATAAACCCATATTGTGTAGATATTTTCTCAGATGCCAGTGACCGGTTAGTAGTCCTACCACTCCTCTGAGTTTGGCCCTCTCCAATTGCAACAGTGTTTTTGCCAGTCTCAGTGAGGGTTGTTTCATCATAAGTTTACTATGTCTAGCACTGCTAGAGTTTATCCACTTCTCCTTTTGTTTTGTTTGGATCCATTCTGTGATGGAGGATTCTTTATTTGTTTTTGTTATCCAAAGAATAGGTTTGGGGCTTATATATGGTCTTGCAGATCCTCCTCTGGCCAGTCTATCTGCTTTCTCGTTACCCAAAATTCCCCTGTGCCCTGGCACCCAAGATATCATCAGGTTGTTGTGTTTCCCCAGGTTTTGGAGATGGATGCATTCACTGACTAATTTTGATGTGATTCTTTTACATGCTGATGCTTTAAAAGCTGCTTGGCTATCTGATCTTATGAGGATTTTTTTTGTCAGTGTAACCTCTTTTAAGATTTTCCAGGGCACAAGAATTGATGGCATGTATTTCTGCTTGAAAGACCGAAATGTTCTTCCCTAATGAGTTTGATTGCTCATGTTTTGGGCTTGTACAGAAAATGCACAATCCAGTTCCTTTGTTTGTTTTGGAGCCATCTGTGTACCATATCATTGTATCTGATGCTCTCTTTGTGTTCTTCCTCTCCTTTATAGTTCATTGAGACTTTATAGGAAGTTGTGAAGATTGTTTCCGGGTCTCCTGATAAATTGATTCCAAAATCACTCTGACAGTGGAGAATAAATATTAACGAAACGAAATCCACAAGTATAATGTTCACCCTAAACAAGAATGCACTCCTACGCTACCTCAACAACGTTCCCATCCCTGTTGTGATGTACACCTCATACTCTACCTGGACAAACGACTGATGTGGAACCCCCCATACCTGAGAGCGCATAAACTGTAACATACGATTTTTCATGCTAAAAACGACTAGTCGACTGATGATCTAAACTCTCACTGGTAAACAAAAGAAAACTTTTTACATTGCACTTCTGGCCCCCATTTCCAGACTTGACCTTCTCGAGATGGTAAAGCGTTCTANTAAAAAAAAAAGAAAAAAAATCAATTTACCCTTTGTAAAAGGTCTTCAGAAGCAGAGATCTGTCGCTTTTGCTCTGAAATGGTCCTTTCCAAATCTGCAATTTTTTCTGCTTGTGCTTCCACTTGGTCTGTAAGCACAGCGACCTGGAGTGACAGTGTCTCCTTGTCGCTTTCAAACCTCCTGAGTTGCTCCTGTAGTTCATTTGTCGGCTGAAAGAACAAATCATTTATAAATCACGTTAAACTAGAACATATAACATTTAATTTTCCTAATAATAACTTGGCGGTTGTATAAATTTTATTCTCTTTTGTTTTCACACCTTTGTGACAAATCTATAAGGGTAATCGCATGGCATAAGAGGTGGTGGACGGTAAAAATAAGGGATCCGGTAGTCGTGCATTGGTGCTGAAAGTCTGTCACCGTAATCACAGTAGGCCCTGTAATCGTGGCTGCAGCAATCGTGATATTTCGGTGTAGCGGTCGACCTGGATTTATGGTCTCTTTCCCTTCTTGAAACTCTTTTCCGGTCCAAGCTGACAGACGGCTTGCGCATCCTCACCTCCGGCTGCTTTCTTTCTCTACCTCTCTCGGCTTTTATCTTGTCCTGTACATTCTCTTCCTTCCTCAACACCCACTGGAAGTCATTCTTGCAACATATCGAGCCCAAATCTACAAGAAAAAAAAAGATCAATTTAGCCACAATGTTTCTTTTTCCATATAATTTCAGCCTTCAGTCTGGATGATATATTTTTTTTAAAAAGAATTTATAAAAGGAAACAAATGATAGAATAAACAGACAAATTAAAGCATCAATTATTAAATATGCTGTTTACAAAGAGAATTGATAATTAAGTGATGAATATGAGTTATCACCCTAGATAATAATCGAGCTTAGTGCAATTTATTGCAAGAATAATTCAAAGGCTAAAAGACTCTCATTTCTGAAAATCACAGATAAGGGATGTGATCTTCAGAGAGATTGTGCGTTAATTTTAGCATACATTTTGGTATAATTGTCTACAAGCACTAGCGTAAAACTAAAACATTATAGAACTAATCCACTTTCTTAATAACAGGTTTTTTTAAATAAAAATAAAAATATATTGAAGATTGCTTTCGGTGAAAGTTCAATGGGGGGGGGGGCTGTTTATGCCTCACCAGCTGGACGATTCTAGTTCGTATTGTAAATAAACAACATATATCCGGCTACGTTGTACAAGTTTATAGGATTTTGTAAATAATCTAAATTGGGCGATTAATGAAAAATGTTTCTTTTTCTGCTCTTTTTGTTTCTCAACTAGAGATATTGTCAATGATTTAAAAAAGGTAGGAAGCCTAATATAGCGATATTGATGATTTTTAATGATTTATTGAACATAAATAGTTTTAAAAAAAATTAATTTAATTGTGTTAAGCAAGCAAAAAAGGTCCACACATAAACAAGCATTCAATGACTGAAAATTAAATGTATTAATAAGCGAGCAATATTAAAATGAATTAGTTATTAAACACAAAAATTTGAACATTTTTTGTAATGTATAAATAGTTAGGTATATTGTATAAAATTATACTGTTATGACATAAACATATCAAATGTGAATTGAAGGTGGCGAAATTATGAAACACACCTGACAGAGCAGCCCGGCAAGGATGGGCAGGCCACAATTATCAGTAACGATTGGATTAGGGTTGACACAGTTTTTCTCAAATTAAATGATTTAAAAAATCATTAATCTCGTAAAATTTACATTTGTATGTCCACTAGATTTGCAGGGCTTGGCTTATTTTGAGCATAAATGCAGAGGAAATCGCGTAAAAGATTTTGAAAGATTAAAACATACAAACTGAGGAATAAAGACACGTTTAAAAATAAATAAAAAAGAAAAAGGAAAACTGCCTGTTTCTACAACATTGAATGGGTCGAGGGTATCGGGGCTGCAACAATTTAGGGGTTAACACGGCGCTCATCCCAGAAAATTTAATTTTTGAATCTAGCAGCATTGCATCCAAACCCAACATACTTACAAATGAGGGTTGTTTTATCAAAAATACCAGCACCCTGAGGGTTCATATTACTCTGTGGTTGAAACACCCTCTCACTCTCTCTCTCTCNCACACACACACACACAAAATTGATTGGGTCTACACTGTCTAAAATACAAGTGATTTGTTGAAAACTGTTTTAAAATTCTATCTGTCTCAAATCCATCACAGAAACATAGAATGAATTGGACAATTGATATAAAAGTCAATGCTGAATATGTTTAAATAAAATCTTCCCTGCAAGCAAATAGTTTCAGATAAGCCATCTAGAAAGATAGATAGCCAACAAAGAAAAACTCGACTGACACGACAAGAATAAAAATTACCTCATTAATACATTCATGTATAAATTTTATTATTATTTATAATTGTTTATTTAGATTTTACTTGTTTTTATTTAATTTTGATAAATTTATCATGATCGTTATGGAGGTGTAAGGGTCGGGGTGATAGACGATAATAATGTCCATGCTAAAATGTCTGAAATATTTTCACGTGTAATACTTTTTTTTCTGTAATTATATTTTATTATGTTTATTTACATTTTATTAGTTAACTGCAAGTCTGTTTATACTTTAGAATATATTGTATAACTAATTTTTACTCTTATCAAGGTTAGAGTATAATATTTTTTTATTGTGAGAATTCTTGTGATAATCGGCAGAGAAGCTGGTATCAAGAGTAGTGTCAAAAGGGGCCCTAACAGGATCTGACTCATAGAAAAGGTGCCATCCTCACCCGATTAAAAACACGCCAGACGATGTTGACACATGGATACTTACTTTTGGATGAAAGCCCACATGTGTCCTGTATGTTGAGAAAGATTTCTCAATGTCCTATCTAATTGGAGGGTACCAATACCTTGGTTCCACATAGAGAGCATGGCAGTGGGTATTAGGATCTCTTGTTCTGATTTTTGGAGGAAAAAATATTGTCTTATTGTATATAAAACTGATAGTTTTGTGTCTCTAGCATGTATTGAGAGTGAATGTATTTATTGGCGCGAATGTGTAGTATAAGAGGTCCGATGGTGGAATTAAGTACCACATTGACCCTCATTTAGGTTAGTGTAGGTGCAAAGCGTGATGGAGGAATATCAAGTATTCTACCACCCTGAGTATGTAAATAAAAAAAGGATGTATTTAAGAATGAGCGAGAGTATGAATGGGTTTGATTTTAGGAACTGATTGCGTTAGGGGTTGAAATGACCTAGATGCTGATAGCCCCTGGAAGCCCTTGGTGGCCGGTTGGATAAGGCCGAGGTCTAACCCCTGGACTGCCAACACCCAGGGATGATTCTCGATTTATTAAATTACAAAAGCTGGAATTGCCAATAGACTGTGAGAAATGATAGGCTAAACTGAACACACGTGTATGTATGTACATGGGTGTGGAGATTTGAGCTTATATAAATCAACAATCAGGAATCAGTATTTTTTTTTTATGAACTCGTACTTTGGTCCTAGACCTAGTCTCTCTGTCCTCACTGGTTTTATCAGCCTGTATTTTGCCATCGTGCCATCTTCAATGGCCCATCAGCACGTTTTCACGTGAGTATATCTTCACACTATTAGCTTCTTTTCATTAAAAAAACTCACCAGTGAAGACGGCGGTTCGACAGACCAAAACGGCGAGAATAGGCGGACCTCAGGATAATCGTTACCGGCCAAACAAAAATTTCTATTGTTCTTCATAAAATTCTAAGTGAATTACTTATTATGTTTAATAAATATTTTCCACCCAGCTTCTTTAAGTCATAAATCAAGATACACCTACAGTATTTTTACAGATACCCTTCATACAGTAGAAAAAGCATACAGAAAACAAAGTTAGAGCAAAAAATATAATAATCCCGTGTTTATTTTATTCTCCGCTTTATCCGAATCCCTTCACCAAAAAAATTATATTTAAAAAACCCAAAGCCAAGTTTTTTTACCTTCATTCGAGTTCGAAGATGTCGAAGAAGTGCTTGTAATCAGGGATTGGTCGTCCTTCCCAGAGTCCGTCGAGCTGTTACATTTTAGCGTTGAATCGTCCATGCTCGATTCTACACTATCTAGGAACACAAAAAAACAGAAAAAAGCTCAGAGAAAATCGGCTCAGAGCTTTTTATTCAAAGTTAAGCCCGCATTTTCCACATTTTCCAATTGTTAACTTTTTCTTTGCATTTGATAAAAGTAAAACTATGAGAGGATGTTAGAAAACGGGCGCCTGACTGAGTGCAGAACGGATAATTATAACAACCTTTCTTGTTTAACTTAATTTTACTTATTTGAAATGGATAAAATGTTGCCGTTACTCGACAGAAAAAATATTAATTAACCATCCTAAATTCTCTCCTTCGATTAAAGCATAATGATAAAATTCCATTAGTTTATTTAAAAAATTCAAGAAGAAAATTCCGGCCGGAGATAAAGAATCTGTGCAATTTTTCAAAGATTCCCCTTCTGAATCGGAGTTATCCCTTTAAATAATCTATAAAACATGATGTTATTTAAAATTTATTAAAGTTACTGAGTCTTAAACTTATCCATTACAAAAGAAATTTAACCATTTTATTTAATTTATAGCAGAGACTATTCTTCAATTTTCCTTTGTGTATATGCGAAACAGACTATTATAACTTTTACCCTTTACCCTAAATATTAGCGTAAGAAGCAAATGTTAACTAAGCTTATTTGAAGATCGAGGGGACATTGGGTTCTTTGAAGAATCTAAAATTGGCAGAAATGTACAGATATACAGGATAGATAAATGAAAAAGGCTCGTCACCACATAAATGGAACATCTGAAAGTGAAAAGAGTGATCGAGGTAAAAGAGAACAAATACGGAAAAAGCTTAGAAAGGTATATCAACATAAAAGATAACACTATAGAAATTAAGAATGATACAGTTCAAATAGGAGGAAGTAGTAAAGGAAGCAATTGAAGAAACACGACTTCTTCAAATCGGACAACTACGACTAACAAGATTTTGCTACATACTATTTTAATAAGAAGAAAAAATAGAAGATAGGTCAAAAATCTAATCCTTAAAAGAAAATTAAATGCTTGAACGACTGATACACGAACTTAAGCCTGTAGAATGGAACGTTATCAAACAGAAGTTTGAATAAGACTTTCAATAATTTTTAGGCTGCCTATAACATTTTTTGATTTTTGCCAG